AAAGTGTTAAAAACAGAATCATTTTACCAAAACCTTCAGACATTTTCCAAACACAAGCCTCCTGCATGCCCCCTCTGTGTTCTTCATCACGTAAATTAATGTGAGGGTCTAAAATTGATCAAAGTAATCTAGACAATTTCAGATATAAAAAATTAATTACAGATTTTGTTTCTGAACTAACTTTAGTATATTCTACCTTCTGAAAGAAAATCTAAATTGATTTTTTTATTAATTGCACAAAAATTCAACTTAAATGTCCACAACAGTTACTGCAGCTTTAAAACAGATTTCTGTTTGGTTGATATGCAGCTTGTTTTCCAGCAGGGGGCGCTGTTGCTCTCATTAACTGATCAGTTGCATTTTAGGCAAGTTTTTACATCATTACTGTCGCTTTAAATGATTTTTTCTGTTGAAAGTTGTGATTTTAAAACCCTGATGTTTCAGAGTGAACCCTCCTCTCCTCCCTCTTCGTCCTGCAGGTGATCACAGACAACATGTTCTGTGCAGGTTACCTGGAGACCAACATGGACGCCTGCAGCGGAGACAGCGGCGGGCCGTTCGTGGTCCACTACCGAGGAACCTGGTACCTGACCGGGATCGTCAGCTGGGGGGAGAAATGCGCCGCGCGGGGGAAGTACGGCGTTTACACCAGGCTGGGAAACTTCCTGGGCTGGATCAGAGACACCATGCAGAGGGTGGAGCGGAACCAGACTCTGAGCTGATGAGGCTTTGACTGGACCGCATCACCATCATCATCATCGGCGGCAGCGGCGGATCTAAAGGAGTCCAATCATTGTTTTCTATGAGAGACAGAAAGTTTTCCAGCTAAAACTCAATGTTTATTTTTAATAACAGTTTGTATTTGTTTGTTGTGCAAATTTGCAACATTTATTGGAAATGCAACAAAATGTTGAAGGATTGTTGAGCTTCTCCGTCCTGCAGGCAGCAGGATGTGCAGGTTTAATAACCCAAAGCTGCTCTCGGTACCAACAGACGCTGAATTAAGCAGACGGGTCACATCAGATCGTCCTGTTAGGAATTATGGGATGTTTTCATAAAGGCTTAATGAATTCATCAGATTCTGCTTTTAATAAACAGATTTTTACAGAAATCCTCATTTCCTCTGATTCAAAAGTGAAGGACCAGCATCGACCAGATCTGATTAGTTTTTTGCTCTATTGTGATCAAGTTTGAGTTGAGAATTTCATAAAAAAATATGTATTTTAAAAAACTTCACATCGGCGGTGAGGTCTTAAATTCAGTCTAACTTCAGTTTTCTTTCAGCTTCCAAACTAAAACCAGCCTGAGGTTAACAAGAATCAAACTTTAGAGCTTTTTCCAAACATTAAAGCATAAAAAACACCAACAGACTAAAAATATTAGTTTTATGAAATATGAAACTGAAATCTTAATGAGAAACCCCAGTGACAGAAATTTATGTAGGTAACAAACCCTGAAGGTCTTAAAGATTTAAAAACAAAAGGTGACTAAATTGGAAAAAATTATGTTTCATTTTTATGATGAAATGTAAAACAGTTCTAACAGAAATAAAAACTACAAATAAACTAAAAGCAGTGATGCTCAGCAGGTTCACGCACGTCAGTGGGAGTGTCTCCAAGAGGCTCTGCCAACAAGAAAAACAAGAAAAATCAGGAAGAAGAAAACCACAAACGAAGCTGCAGGTGATACACGACGTTTCTGAAGAAGAGCTGTGATCCGGGTGAGTTTTTCTTTTCTTTTCTTTATATTTTGTAGAGATAAAACTGCATCAGAGTGCAGAGGTCCCAGAGTGAAGTTAGAGTCAGGCTGCAACTCGACAGACTGTCACTCCAACGTTTACTTCAGGAAGTGAGAGACAAACTCCAGTCGAATTGCAGACAAACACCAACAGCAAACAGATGGAAAACCCAGAGTGAAGGTATGCAGAGGCAGACTCAGTCATTTTGGGGCCCAGGGCCAACCTTCGCAGCGGGGCCCCTGCCGTAATGTACCGATGAACCCTGAGGGTGAAGATCCTGAAGGCCTGCCGTTCTCTCACAGGGTGGAGCTCCTGCAGTCAGGCTGCAATTTATTTTAGAAAGTAATCGTTAATACACAGAGGACGAACCCAGAAACTACTCCAGTAATCTTAGAACAACTTCAATACATTTTTACTGCATCTTTAATTGCTAAAAGCGGCGGTATCATGTAGAATCAACTTTTTGAGTTTTACATCATATTATAAAATTATTCTCTCATCAAAAAACATAACAATAGTGT